CCCAGCAAAAATACCCTGTATATTAGTCCAGTCAAAGATAATATCATATACATTATCATCAGCAGATAATTTTTCATTTGTGTTCATTAAATAGTTTGCTTCCTTCTTCCTTCTTTGATTCCCTCCCTCCTACCTCCTCCCCACCCTCACATAGTCTCTTGTATCTACAGTTGCTCTACATACCTTCTAATTTTTCAGTTTCTGTCATAGAGTGCAGACATTCAGTATATATTAAGTGGGGACATCCAATGCTTCTCTTCCATAGTCTGACTTGCTTCACTCAGCATTAAGTCTTCTATATTCACCCACTTTCTATCAAATGCCAGGGTCTCTTTGTTTTTTATGGCTGAGTAGTGTCCGTAGTATATATGTGCCACACTTATGCAATCCATTCATGTATTCTAGGACATTTGGGTTGATACCATGTGTTGAACTTTCAATTCTTCAGTAATGATAGGATTTCTAGGAGGCAAAAGTGATTTGCATGGGTCAGCGTTCTCCAAAGAAACGGAACCAACAGAATAAATATATATGAAAGAGGAGATTTATCATGGGAACTACCTCACATGATCACAGGTAGAGAAGTTCACAACAGTTCATTTACAGACTGGAGAAGTAGCCTAAAGACTCAAATCCAGGGAAGTCCATGGTACAATTCTCAGTCCAAGACCAGAGGCCCAAGCCTTCTGAGGCAGCTACTGGTATAATTCCAGACTCCGAAAGTGAAAGGACTTACCGGTTGTCCAGAGAGGCACAGGAGCCAAGCACTAGAGGGAACCAAAGACAGTCAAAGGCCAAGCCATGAAGCAAGAATGGAGTGGGCAAATACACAGGTAGCAGGAGAAGAACACCTGTCACACTCTCTAAGGAAAGGCATAGAGAAAACAGAACCCCCTGCTTCTGCTGTTTGTCCCTGCCACGCTCCCAGAAAACTGGATGGTGCCCATTCGCATAAAAGGCAAGTGTTCTTGGTTTTTTGAATGACTGATCTTTTTTTATGTATTAAACAAATACTTGACATTGTTATGTGCAGACACCCACTTAGGACACTTAGAAGATTTTCGATTTCTCTGAAGTTCAAGCTAAGATTTTCAATTACATTTATGTATGTCTATTGCATCTTTCATTTCCACCTGGGTAGCCAGATAAACACGTAAGATGGATTCTTTTCTCTTTTTTTAGTAATTATTTTATTTTACTTTATTTATTTATTTGACCAGAGAGGGACAGAGAGAGAATGAGAAAGCGAACCACCAGGTCCAGGACTTGAACCATGGTTAGCCATATGGGAGTCCAGCGCCCTTAACCACCACACCACCTGCCAGCCAGATAAGATGGATTCTTAAAAATTAAACAGCATAGACTGTTAAAAACTTTGAAAGATGCAATAATTTTGTTTTATGCTAGTAACAGCAGCAACTCTGCATATCATATTTTAAATCACACCCATCACTAGTTTTAACTACATTCTTATTAAAATAATATCTATAGCTCTTTTCAGGTCCATATATTTTTATTTATTTATTTATTTATTTATTTATTTTAGGTTTTTGTCACAGGGCACTTGCTCTCTCCAGAGGCAGAGTGAGGGGAAGAAGGAAATCACCGCACAGGGGGATGGCCACTCCACAATTCCTTTTCCTCCATTCTCTTCTGTGGATTTTGGGCATGCCAACGGGCTCGAACCTGCACTGGCCATGTGGGAGTCCAGCACCTTAACCACTACACCATCTACTGACCCTTTAAAAAATATGCTTTTTGACTAATTTAGAGTCCAACAGCCTCACCAAAACATGGCCTGTTATTGGAAAGGAAAAATAAAAAGGAAAGAAAAGGACAAAGGAGAAAACACAAACGGTTCCAAAAGCTCTCCATTTGTGAAAACATAAAAGGGTGGAATATTCATTTCAAATTCTGGTTAGACATTAGCCTGTCACAAATCGCCCTCCAGGAAGTGCTGAGACTCCACTGCAAGTCATTTCGGTGAATAAATCAGGAAAAAAACGCTCCAACTTCACCTACAGCCACTGAGAGCCCACCCTCCTGGAGTCTTGGAGGACAGCGCTCCAGGGTACAGGGGTGACTGGCACCCACCGACTGTAGGCGCGCGGCCTCGCCAGGGCACACACAGACGCCACGCCTCCCACACACAACTTCGCCAGACCTTCGGCTCCAACTTGTGGGCTATTTTCCCGGCGGTGTCTCCTTTGAGGCCTGCGACCCCGCAGCGAGGGAGCTTCCCTAGCGCTTGCGCGGGCACAGCCATCAGGGAGGCCGAGGGGGCGCTCGGGAGGGAGGAGCGAGCAGCGAGCGCGCACAGCAAACACCCGCTTCTGTGGCCCTGGCGGGTTGTCTTACCCTGCAGACAGCGGCCTGGCTATGGCTATGCTTGCGATCCCAGAGCCCAGGGCCAGGATGGGCTTCCACTTCAGTGTGTGGAGCGGGCCGGGGCCTCTCGCTGCTGGCTCACTGGTCCCGGGGCGGGAGCTGCAGGTGGAGCTGGGTCTCTGAGCTGCTCCGCAGCCGGGAGCGTCTCAAGGCTGGCCACTGGCTCACTCTTCAACTTGTGTTTCGTCTGAACCGAGGGGGCTTGCAGGAACTCCGACATCTCGGGGGTCCCCAGCCCTCTTCTGTCCCGCAGCCTTCACAGCCACAGCTGGAGCCGTGACGCTTGCTCTTCCAAGCCTCGAGGCTGCGGCCAGGGAAGAGAGCCGCGCTGGCACAAATGTAGGCTCAAAGCAGACGTGGCACAAGGGCCACTGTGGCAGAACTGCAAGTTCTGTTAGCTCCAGCGGCCCTAAATATTTTCTTAAAGGCTCACCTTTAAAGATGGTCCCACTGAGTGCGAGGGCTTCAACATGTGCATTGAGGAAGTGTAAAACCTTCGGGTCAGGACACCTCCAGGCCTACACGTCCTGAGCGGGTGCTTGCAGCTGCCAGGTGGAGCCCGGTCCGACCGGGGCACTCAATCCTCCTGCTCTTCTCCTCATAGACTTTCCCCTTCTCTCTCCCTGACTCAGAGATTCCTCACCGCTGGCACCCGTATGGCCTTCTTCCCCTTTCCCTTTTCATTCCTTTCTTTTCGCTTGCTCTTTCTATGCGTGTCATACTGAATGATTCTGTCAGATGATGAGACTGCGTCATAATTTCTGCAATGAAAGATGCAAAGCTGAATTTATCGTGTAAGCAAGTAAGGGAGACCTATGCCGCTGAGGCAGTCTCGGAGCAGAGCAGGCTGCTGACGGTGTGTGGAAGGTTCCAGAAGTGTGGGTGCTATGATGGAGGGCCCAGTGTAACCAACCACAAGGGTGGGAGGAAGAAGAGTCAGTGTCAGAATGGTGTGATGTGAGAGTAACTCTGTTCGCCATGGCTGGCTGTGAGGATGGAACGAGCCAGGAACTGGAGAGTGTGGGCGGCCGCTAGGTGGTGGACAAGGCAAGAAAACCGTCTCCACTGAAGCCTCCAGAAGGCAATGAAAACCTACCACGGGTGCATTGATTTTGGTGCAGCAAGATTCATTTTGGACTTTTGACTTTCAGAACTGTAAGCTAATACTGTTAAGATACTAAGTTTGGAGACCAAAAGATGGCATAAAGCTTTCATCACTGGACTCCCATGTAGTCAACCGTGGTTTGAGTCCTAGACCTAGTGACTTATAACTCATGCCGGGCATGTGCTCACGCATGCCCAAGATCCCTAGAGGAGAATGAAGAAAAAGGGATTGTGGTATGGCCATTCCCGCCCCCACCCCCCCATCACCCTAACCTCTCCCCATGACTTTGTGACTTCTCACTTTCTGTCTGTCTCCCTGGCAAGCGCACATTCCCTATAGAAAAAAAAAAAAAAAAAACACTCTATAAAAGAAAAAAGACACTAAGTTTAAAGGGGCAGCAGATGGCATAGCAGTTATGTCACTGGACTCTCACATGACTGACCATGGTTTGAGTACCAGATTCAGAGGACTGAAACTCACCCCAAGTGCATGTGCGTGTGTGCCCAATATCCTGGGAGGAGAATGGAAGAGAAGGGTTTGGGGCATGGCCATGCCCCCTTGGAGTGATTTCTCACCTTCCCTCTCACTGTCTCTGTCTTTGTCACACCTGCACTAAGGCAAACACCTCTAAAAAAAAAAAGACACTCAATTTGTGGTAATCTATTAAAGCAGCCAAAGGAAACTCATAGTGACCGTTGATAGATTAAGATGATTTAGAACCAGTTCTGGTGGTTATTTGTTACCATAGCTTCAAAACAATTATTCTTTTTTCCAGACATATGAACTTTAACCATTTTCAATTGTCATTATAAATCATTTAAATGATACTGGAGGTTGGGCCAACCATCCCCATACAAGGCATCTAAACCTCCACTCTCTGTTCAGGGTGTGATAAATGTCTGGTACTGTCCAAGGTTGATTTGTGCATAGGTATATATTTGGGACGTGGTTAGAGGAGCTTAAGCCCTGGATTTATAATGTTCTCTTCAAGGCTGGCTGCTGAGCGTTGGGTATTTAAGAGTCCTTTGTCATATTGACGCGGGAGTACTGGGTGATCAGACCCAACACCCAGGCTGGTTCTCATTCTACGCTCATGAAGATTTACAGATGTGGACACAGAGAGGAGAGGAAAGTGGAATTTATTAAGGAAAGAGAAAAAACTTCCAATGCAATGAAAGGGGGCCCAAGCCCAGATAGGTTGAATAGGGGCTGGAGGTGAGGGATTTATATTTAGCAGTCTTAGCAATGGGCTGGCCTCCTGACAAGCAAGTGGGCTTTAGAAAACGGTTACATGGTGGTCTGAGTGATTGATTACCCTACTCTTTGTGTGCTCAGCAGACCACAGTGTTCTGTACTTCTGGTTAGAATCCAGTTACTAAACAGAAACTGTTGCCCTTAACTACAGTAATGTTGAGTCCCAATGCAGCCAGCTGTGGGCTGGGAAAACCTAGCCACTGTGACTCCACCTGGATCTTTACCCTGTCTGTGTGCTAATATCCCTATCTCCTGTGTTATTAGCAAAGAGTCATACATTCCTTAGAGGCCTGTAAGAGGGGTGTATATTGTACATTAATCTGACCATAGAGGGAAAACAGAGACCTTCAATAAAAAGAAAAACACAGTGACTTCCTTTTAGGGCCCTTGCCCTATCTATCCACCTGTAAGTGAGGTCTCGCTCCTATCTCAATATCAAGGCCACCTAGTATCTGAACCCCCTTCCCACATATGAAGAATTTCCTACATTTTGAAACTTGTAGGATCACTCACTAACTTTAATCAGCTTCCCTGGGTATTAATATGTGAGTGTAGTATTCTGCTTGAATGTGAGTTGAGACTCAAGGAGCAGGCCCTGGGGAGGTTCTTTATATTCATACTACTATGCCCCTGAGACCTAATGATCTTTCACTCTCGGTTAAGATCCTTAATTTATAGTCTCCAGGGGCAGCCGAAATCATGGTGCCATTAGTGGTGTCCAGTGCCCAGGGCCAGTGCAGCCACAGACACTGGGTCTGTCACTCAGAGGGGGCATTTATGTCCTTTTCATACCAGCATGCCTCTGGCTATACTTAAACGGCCTTTAAAAAAAAAATCACAGGTGTGTGCGTGCACAAGAGAGACAGACAGCCCAGCTCTGTGGGATCCGGCTTCCTCTGACCAGTACTTCAGTGCTCCGCCGGAGAGGGCCCTCGATGACCCTTCTCATTCCTCCTTGTTTCACCCTGCTTCTCTAGGATTCCTTTTTTTTGAGAGGTTTTTGCTACAGGGCGCATGCCCTCACCAGAAAGACAGAGAGAGACAGGAGACAAAGAGACAGAAAGTGAGAAATCACCCCCCAGGGGGATGGCCACGCTGCAATCTCTTCTCCTCCATTCTCCTCTCGGGATCTTGGGCACGTACATGAGTTTAAGCCACCAGGTCCAGGACTCAGACCACGGTCCACTACATGGGAGCCATTACGCCAACTGCTGGTCCCTCTCTAGGACCTTGATGAATCTCTGAACAAATATTTCAGACTAATTCAGTCAGACTCCATTCTAAATGGTTGCAGGAGTGGGTGGCAGGCGAGGAAGGGAAGGCAGGAACTTCTCCCTGGAGGCCGGCTTGGTGCTGAGTGCACTTCCAAGCACCTCCATGATTCACTTGAAGAAAGCCAGCCTCCTTGGGGCCAGCAGGCAGTGTGGTGGTTAAGGACGCTGGACTCCCACATGGCCAACCACAGTTCGAGTCCTGGACCTGTCGGCTTGCTTTCCCACTTTCTCTCTCTCTCTCTTTCTCTCTTTCTTTTCCCACTTTCTCTCTCTCTCTCTCTCTCTCTTTCTCTCTCTCTCTCTCCCTCTCTGTCCCTCTTTGGTCAAATTAAAATAAATAAAGTTAAATCAAAAAGAATTCTTAAAAAAAAAAAAAAAGAAAGAAAATCAGCCTCCCCTTCCACTCTTACCACCCCTTTAAAGATCAAGTTACTCCACCCCTTGCTCTCAGGTCTGAAGGTGAAGGTGGCTTTCTCCTCCCCATCCCCAGGTCTAAGCCAGACCTTGGGTTAGAGAAATAAACAAAACCAAAACCGCATCCTTCAAGCGAATAGCTGATATTTCTATCCTTTTTCGTAAGACAGCAGCTTTTCCTGAATCTGTATTTCTTATATTCTGTGTGGTGAGGAAAAGAACAAAATGGCCTTTGGATACTGCCAGTAAGAGCAGACACCAAAGCCCCGTGGTCCTCTGAGATGTTCTTCATCTACCTATCTACGTATCTGTGCAGAGGGGAGCGTCCTCGCTGTCCCCTCCCTCTCTCTGGTGACTGCACGTGCCCTCTGGCAAATTTAAAAAGGAAAGAAAAGGCCTATCCTGCCGTCTTTGCTCTTCCACACTCACCTTGCTGCCCCCCAGTAGGCAGCAAAGCCCTTCAGGTTCCCCAGAATCCTGATTCCTATGAAGCCTCCCTCTTCTCTCCTCTCCAAGTCCTCAGTGTGCTTAGAGATGAAATCATGTCATTAAAGAAGAGCATGGCCTGCAGTAATCCGGGGTGGTGGTGAGAATTTCACTTGCACGCCTTTAAAAGGGCACCTCTGCCCCGGGCTCCCCCACCTTCTCCCTTCTCAAACACTCTCCTGTGCCCTCATGGAAGCATCTGCGGCCATCCGTGGCATAGCTCCCATGGGACAGAACTCACTGACAGGTTCCAGGCCCCAGCCACAGACTTTCCTTATCAGCCACAGCCTCTTAGAGCAGCATGCCTCACTCCAGACCCGGAGGGTGTGGGGGCGTTGGAGGGGTGTTCGACTCTCCTCCGTAAGGTAGCCTGGGCCTGTGGCCTCCGGCTCTGGTTTTGGCTCAGGGGTCTGGAAAGCAGAGGTCCCCCTTCCCAGCCTCTGCTTTGATACTATGTAGTACAGGGCCGCTCCCAGTCCTGGACTGCCCCTCAGAGTCTCCCCACTTTTCCCGCTCACCAGGAGTCCCCGGGGGCTCATGGACCGCCTACTTCTGTCTCCTCACCTCCACCAAAGTTCCTACCTGGGCTGTTTTATACATTTTTAAAAACTTATTTAGAAGGACGGCTTAATCACTATCACGGATTATTCAATCAACCAGACGTGGAGAGTAGAGGGGGAAAGCACC